ACGAGGTCGGGAATGAGTCGCCGGTCCGAAGACTGGTGGTAGTTTTAAAGGGAATTCTGTCAACCCTGTAGAACCCAGTCTCAATGCTAATGAATTGCATGGCATGGCACAGAAATTAGGGAAGATTCCCAAATTTTTTAATGAAATTAGATAACATTAATACCCAAAACTGACTGAGATACACAAACAAAAACAAAATATTGACCAATACCATTTTTTAACAATGACACAAAAATCCTAAATAAAATATTAGCAATAACCTACAATACCATATTAAAGATGATCTACCATGACTAACTGGGATCCACACCAAGACTGTAAGGATAATTCAATCTCAGGAAATGTATTAATATAATCTACTGCATTAATAAGCATAGGGAGAAAAACCAGATGATTATTTTTACAAGCTGAGAAAGCCTTTGACAAATTCAAATAAAATCCACTTTTGTCTTGTGATACCCTAAACAAAAAACTCTACCACACAATACCAGATTTTGACCTGCACAACTGTAAGTTAATAATGGGTGTTCTTTTAAGTTGCTGAATTCACAGCTAATTTCATACAACTGTAGAAAACTAACACACACATTTACCTTTTGACCCAAAACTCTCACTTCTATGAATTCACCCTGAAGATACACCTCTAACAATACTAAAACAAATATGCTCCAAAGTAATAAAGTGCAGTATATACCCACTGAATAAGCCAGGGTACATATATACAGTGCAGCACTATACAGCTATAAGAAAGAACGAGGAAGAAATTTGTGAGCTGATACGGAGTAATAATATAGTAGAAAGATATATATAGATGTAAATGTTTATATGAGGAGAAACTGTTTTAAAAATAGAGGAGTGTACTTATTAAAAAAAACTTCAAAGCCAGGCATGGTGGGGCACACCTGTAATCCAAGCACTTGGGAGGATAAGGCAGGTGGGCCGCTGTGATTTTGAGGCCAGCTGGGGCTACAAAGTGAGTTCAAGACCAACCTGAACTACATAGTGAGTGAGACCCAGTCTCAAAAAGACAAAAATAAATAAATAAATAAATAGACAGATAAATAAATAAAGTAAAATAAAATAAAAGCCCAAAGGATAAATTAGAAAATAATTTAATTGAAATAAGTCAGTAGAACAAGATAAAGAGGAAGAAGTAACACTTCTTTCCCTCTTTTTAAAATTAGTACATGTTTACAATACATCATACATTCATTGTGGGGAAATGGTACACATATGTATCACATCTTGATGATTTGTACTTCCTTTCCTCTCCCCTCCCTTCCATCCTCAGAACTTCTGAGTATAATTCCTTGGTATTTCTTTGCAGGCAACTGGTTCCAGAAACCCATAGCAGATCCAGGAAAAATCAAGGAAACTCAAGTGCCTTATTTAAAATGGAATCGGATTTGTAAATAACCTATACATATCCTCTCATATACTTTACATCATGGTTAGAATGATACCTCTAGCATTCACACTTCTTTAATACAATGTAAATGCTATGTAAATAGTTGTTACACTCCACTGTTAGAAATGACAAAAAAATGCACATGTTCAGTCATACACAACTTTTACTTTCTGAACAACTTCAATCTGCAAATGGTTGAATCTAGAGATAAAGAAGGCTGACTGTAGATATTTCTGAAGAGTGATAACTTTTAAAAGCATGTTAATGTTTCACATATTCAAAATAATAAATTAAGTATGGTAGGCCTAAAATTGAATGCAAATAGAAATAACCTAAATTTGTATACCAAATGACTAATGCAAGCACTTTGAGGTGAAGGTTGAAGAGTAATTAACCCAAGTAATTTTTAAAAACAGTACCCTAACTATGTATCCTCAGTCTAGGAGAAAGAAGAGCTGTGAATCCAATCTGGAAGTTTCTAGCAGATTTATCTTTATAGTAATGTGAATACAGCAGTTCTGAAATTATTTTATATTTTATAGGACAGAAGAGGTAAACATATTGATGTTGTTGAACAGGATTCTTACAATGGAAATATGACAACTTGTAAATCCTAGTAAGGAAAATATACAGTAATTCTCAGTATTTTTGCAACCTTTCTATAAATGACTTTTTAAACTTTTAAATTTGAGAAAAAAAGTTGGTTTAATTTTGCTTGCATTTCCTTTACTGTACCCATGAATTTAAAATTATTTGACTAAATAGTCACACTCCATTTTTTCAACTTTGCCACACTGCCTAAGAGAGAATGCCAGTTTTTGTTTATTATCTCCTTGGCTTATTATCCCTAAGATGCTCGGTCTTTTTTTCCTCCTGGTCATAAATTTGTTTGTCCTTCTCTGAAGCACTATGATGATGTTATAGCACACTACATTGAGAAAAGTAGTAAGAACATACCTTTTCTGTTCTCACACATCTAGCCCACACTCTACATAGAATAAATGCTTACATCTTGATAATTGGTAATAGAATATTATACAGGTCATAACTGAGAAAAATCACACAAAAAAATCTACTTTGGGTGGCTAAAAAGAAAACCTACCTTCTATTTCTTGTCCAATAGAAAGTCCAGCCCATTTTCGCTACAAAATAAATAAGAAAAAGACACTTAAATGAAAAAACTAAAATTAGAAAAATAAGAAAAAAAGAAGAAATTCTATGAATTTTAGGACACATTCTAATTCTAAAACATTTTGTATTGAATTGTCCCCACTCCTAAAAAATGTTTAAACCTTAGCCCCTAGTACCTGTGAACATGATTATACTGAGAAATAGGGTCTTTGCAGACATAGTTACATTAAGATGAGGTCATACTACATTAAGGTGGTCCCCAAGCCAATGGTGTCCTTATGAGAAAAAGATGCACAAGGAGGATAACATGTAATAACAGTGGCAGAGACTGTTGTGATGCATCTACAAGCCAAGGAACCCCAATCCTGTTTACTGCCGCCAACACCAGAAGCTAAACATGGAAGGGAATCTTCCCTCCATGTCTTAGAGAGAGTTACCTCTGCTAACGCCATGATTCCATAATTCTAGCTTCCAGAACTATAAAAGAATAAATTTCTGGTCTCTGCTTGTGATTTTTGGTGGTTTTTTTTGCAAACTATTCTTTTTTATATTAACTTTTTCTATGGTTGTTGCTTAAATTTTCTGTTGTCTTAACTATGGTTCTTACAGCAGCCCTAGGAAATAATGTATAGGTTCCAGTTTATATCTGAAGGGCTTGCCTTTTTTTTTTTTAGTAAAACTGGCCCACCAAGTAGAATGCTCCACTGCACAATATACTGTTCCTGAAGTCTTCACTGTATCAACTATTTCAGTGTTCTGAAGATACAGCTGCAGTTAGTTTTACTGTTTATTACAGAATCACAAAAAGAAATGTGGCCAGGCATAGGGGTACATGCCTGTGATCCCAGTACTTGGAAGCCTGAGTCAAGAGGACTCCCGCCTGGGCTACACAGTGAGTGAAGGCCAGTGGGATGGAACTCCTACACAGCAAGACCCTGTCTCAAACAAAATAAAATAAACTTAAAAATTAATTCATGAAAATTAAAACTGGTCAGATAAACTGTATTGAAACCCAAGCAGGGACACAAAAGTACTCTGTGTACTGACCAAAGGATTTTCAGCTATTAACCACCTGACTTTAGCCTCTCCCCAATCCTGTTTACAGTAGCAAAAATGTACAGTGGTAGAACAAATTCTGTTCAGGGAGGAATTCAGGACGGGCTTGGTATAAATTCAAAATTAGTAATTACTGGTAACACTCTAAAGAACAGTGAGAAAAAGAATTTTGAACTGGAAAGCCACAGTTGGCCTTCTCTACTGAACATTCTAAATTTTGTGGTGGATCATTCATAAGATGCTACATCATGACTACACACAAAAACAAGTGCTCCATTCTAGCTTTTGAACCATGCATCATATGCCCTCCTCTCTGTCCTTCACCTCCCCTAAAAGATCGTTTCTGTAAAATTCCACATCAGACCAACCTGACAATTAGCAGCACGCTAGTTAAACCCAGACTTTGGGTCACAAAGTTATCACACTTAGGGTCTGTACTTTAATCCCAAAGATGGGGATGACAATAACAGTACCTATTTATGCAGTGGTTTTGAAAACAAAATGAGCTAAAACATTCAAAAGCACTTATAACAGTCCCTGGCCTACAGTAAATCCTAGGAGAAATTATTTTTTACAAAGCAGAGAAACAAAGAAAAATGGCTACCTCAAGTTACTTCTGACCACCAAAACCTTTAAAACAGCTTGCAAACCCTGGAGTATCTCAAGTTTCATATCTATTTAAACAAATGCAAAAAGTAATCATAATAATAGAGTGGTATCCAGGCAGAGAAAAGGGGAACAGTGAATAGAGACTTCCCACTATTTTTAAGGGCTCCAAGAGATTGTTAACAGTTCCCAAATAAGTGTCTGATCTCTTTCCCTATACTGCCAAGGAAATAAATCCATTTTTACTAGCGTAGAAAGAGGCAGAGTTGCATTTACATTGCTTAGGATTGTGGGGTCTGTAGCCTGAGTAAGACAGCAAGGGGGAAAACAATACACACCAGTATTTGTGGTGCTCTTACATTATGGATTGTGCACCTTGGACAGTGCTAGGCAGTCTGCTTCTGTGGATTCCATAGAATCCATCAACAATGCTAACCATAGTCAAAATCCTTCCTGTTGTTAGGGGAGCCTAGCAAGTTCAGCTGTAGTTTGAGAAAACTACTTTCCATATTCTGTAGTCTGACACTGTATTATAAAACATCTATTTTTGTAAATAAAGTATCATTTTTACATCTTTTCTGTTACCCTGGGAGGTAGCATTAAAATGATGCCACTTTATCTGATAGCTGACTGACACTTCTGCAAATTGTTAAGAAACTGAAAAGAAATCAAGGCAGTAAAAGGCAGCCATAGTAAAAATTGACAATTAAGAATATATTTTTAAATCTCTTATATAATATCTAGATGTTTTTCTTCAAAATGAATCAGTATCATTATACGGTGGTATGTGCTTAAAATGAATAGACTTCTCTACAGCTTTCAAGAGTAGGAGAGAATAAACTGACACCCGAGTTACCTGAGGTAAGCTGAACGCAATGCTCCCTGGAACCACTGACGGGTGGGTCTTCAGAGTAAATATGTACCTGTGATTGGGAGAGGTCCTCACCACCACGTGCCTAGAAGACACAAACACAGTCAGTACTCCATAGCAAAGTGAAGGAAGAACATAATTTCTAAATGTGTTTTTCCCAAATATATGTTTGATGAGTACTAGGTGGAAACATGGTACCACATGAGTCCTAAAAGGCAGGACCACAAATTTAGTTTCCAAAAACTGTCAGTAATTTAAAATCTTTTCCATATATAAAGAGCACATTGGGCCAAGAATATATCAAGCAGAATCCAGCCAAGTTCAACAGAACATATCTAATCCAAAACATCAACTACGTTTCTGGTTTATCTAACACTAAAGTTAGTGATTTAGAGTCCCTGACATTAACTAAATAAAAAAAAAAAAAAAAAA